ACTTGGATGTAGGTTGTACCGTTTATCGAACTTTTTACTTTTCTTCGCCTTCTACAGTTTGTAGAATCCAAAAACACAGTATCGTCTCTATCGTCTGTCAGTCGTCAGTCTTCAGCATGTTGGGTTTTATTGGTTATTTTATTAAACTATTACGAAGCAGATTACATTATAGTTTTAAATATTTTTCATGATGACGTTAATTCTAAATATTGCGATTTCCTCCGTGCATTAAAGCATTTTTTTTATCTGTGCTTTAAGACTTTATCTGTTACACACGGAGTTGGTCCAAAAGTGTAAATTTTAATCATCAAATTTAGAGTTTGTTCAAAAAGATTCATAATATATTTCTTTAAAATTTTAGTTAGAAATTTACACTGCTTAGGGCCGGTTTATCAATTCTCAGTTAAAAGTGTCTGTTAAGTAACTGTCAGATAAGGGTAACTAGCAGTTAACGGAGGTAAAGTGTTTATCAATGCACGATGTTTCTTCCAGTTTCATAGCTCGAAGTTTAGCTGTTACTCTCTTAAGTTGGTAACGCGCACCCCACTGGAAATGAGTTGTGATTGGTCAGTTCAAAACTACCCCGACCTTGAAAGTTCCGTCAGATTCGATCCGCATTCGGTATTCAACGATTGTATATCGCGTTTCACGTGATCAATCATGAAAAAGCAAAATTTAGCATTAGAAAAAAAGTATTGGAAATTAAAAATGAAACAAGTAGGTACACCTATAAATAAATACAGAGAGATCGAAAAAGAAATTAGTCAAAGTTGGACATGCACGAAAAGGCGTTTTTCTTAGTTTAAAATAATTTTTGATTAATCGTCACGTTGACAAAAGTAATTTGCACTGTGATCAAACGAAATTAAAGCTTTTTTGTTATTAGAATCTTCAGAAATGGGATAAATTTTAGACAAAATTGGAAAACGGTGATTTTAATTCATTCTTATGTGTCTTAAAAGTAGGCGTCATAATTCTAATCTCTAAACTGTCAATTTGACATTTAATAAAAAAATTAAATTACCCTACCACCGTGATTACGACAAACGGCTTGTCGTGCATGGCCTACTTCGATTAATTTCTTTTTCGATCTCGCGGTATTATTAGATAGGTTTTTAATTTTTGGTACCCACATTAAACCTGGAAAATAATCAGCTAATAATGAGTGTTTTTCTCATCTTTTCTCTGCAGGTTTGTTGCACAACATAAGTCCTCATCAAAATATTGTTAAATTCATAACAGATTTATTTGGATTTGTTAGGTTATGTTGCCACTAACTGGTGGATAACGTTTTAACTGACAGTTTGAACTGTCAGTTAATTTATCAGGCACTTTGACCACCAGTTTTGAGCTAGCGGGTAATGATAAACAGGTTAACTGACAGACAAGCTTTAACTGCCAGTTACTTTAACTTAACTGCGCATTGATAAACCGGAAAGCAGAAAATTATTTAAAATTGATTTAGATATCATTTTTATCAGATGCTTGATATAAGATGTATCCTTGGCATGCAACATCAAATTACTCAACTGACTTACGTAAATGCAATAAAATCATAAATATCTATTATCAGAAAATGAAAAATAAACGATTGAAAAAAATGTAAAAAGAAGAAAGAATTGTTGAAGTTTATTCTTGAGCAGAACTGTGGAAATAATACAACATATAAATAGATATACCGTCGATAATAATTAATAAGTAATAAGTGTTTTAAAAGTAAATAAGATAAGGAAACTTAACGAAAAATCTCCTTGACGACATAAAACGTTAAAAAAAAGGAACAAGATGAAAACATTTTAAATACTCATGAACACTGCAATTAAAATATGGTACCTATACGTCATTCCATAGGACAATTAACACAACTCTGTCATTATTATTTATAAAACATTTCATTACATCTAATAATAATATAATATGCTCAAAAGAACATCTCAGAAAGTAGTTTTTTATTTAACTGATTTCAATCAGAACTAACAGTTTTTATTTTTATTAGAGACCAATTTACATTTGCCATAAAGACACACTAATTATTTAGACCCAACTATCCCAATTTGCGTTGGCAAAACATTAAATGATAATTAAAATTCTACACGTATAATACACCACTGTGGATACAACAAAATGCACTTATCAGTGACGTTAAATTTACCCTTGGTTTTGACATGTTAAGTCTCAAGGCTAGTTAATGTAAAAATTTGAAACAATGTATACTTATTGTAGATCTTAAATTGTACGAAGATTAAATTACATGAAAATAAAAGTTAACAATATTTTAAAGGATTGTATATTTCCTAAGGAAAATTGAAAAATTTTGTTGTTGCATTTCAAGGTATATCTCAGAAATTTTATACATGTGTAAATAAATTTTAAACGATTTCAGAAACGTTCGTCATGTAGGTAGGTACGAAAACAAAGTGTAAAATGTATTCTAGATTTTTTTCAGAATAACTCGTATGCTATATGTATTATTGTGTCTGCTGTAGTTACATATTTTTAAAGAATAAAATATATGTAAACTGCGCATATCTTGCTTGTCTCCTTTTGAAAAAAAAAGGATTTCTATATTATGTGAGAAACGAAAAATACCTGTTGACTACATATTTACTGTTATACTGTGAATAAAATTCATTAAGACTGATTTATTTGCTGTTTACTAAATCTTTGATAAGATTTACAAACTGATTTAATGATTTCAAAACCTTAACAACATTACATTAAAAATCTTGATAATGTTATCTGAAGCAATCATTAAAAATATTTGAAAATTTTACGTATCTTTTTAAAAAATTCGCTTCCTGTTAAAGTATTGCTTAATCGTTTTTTTAGAATTCGCCACAGAGTAATTTAAAAAAAAACTAATTATTAATTCATATCTTATCTTATCATTTATCACAATCAAAAAATGAATGACGTCGTCCTAAAATAAAGCTCCTAAAAATTCTTGTTGATCCTATTGTAGTTCAAAAGCTAGAGGTGCAAGCAATTTTAGAATTTTTCTAAATTGTGTATACAATTCTTCAGATATTGTTTCACAATCAATTATTCGAATTCCAATGATTGTGTAAAAAAAAAACATATATCTTTACTACCCACGTTTCCTGAAAATACACCCTGGTGCAAAAATGGGATGCACTGTCAATTTCAATTTCTGCTCTAAATTTAAAATGTGAATGAAACAATGTCTGGTTGCCAGTTAGACAGATATAATTTTGTCATCAAGTTATTTTGTTCAAGTTTGATCTTGATAACATTTTACGAGAATTTATCGACTGGTCCAGCAACAAGTTCTGATTGCTCTTTCGTAATCAAATGAAATTAATTTTAAATTAAATCTTTCATGGTAACTACTGTTAACAAAAGAAATAGGAAAAAATGATTGTAGTATTTTTTGCTACGTTAAGTGTTGGTGATTTCGTGCAAAAAGAAAATTAAACTACATTTTCATATTTGTGACAGATATTCTTGAGAATATTTATTAACATTCTTATATTATAACTGGTTTCAACTGACTGCTATTTCCAAACTCCTGTGATGATAGTGCTAATCAATATGTATTATGCCAATTTTATATTCACAAATGATTTTTTATGTACATTCCTATTCAAAAAGAAGTGATATATTTTTAGACCGATATAAAAAGTTATACTTTTGCAGATAAAAAAGTGAATATCATTTTGTTGCTTTTTTTAAATATTTTTTCAATAATCATTGGTATTAGCTTTATTTTAATATTTTCAGTACTAGCAACCATATAACCACATATTAAAAATTTTAATTTGGTAAGCCAATAAAAATATGTTTGCAAAAATAATTTGAAAATCATATCCTAACATAAAGAAAATAGATTAATTAGCGGAACAACCAAGTTATTTTTTCTAGAGAAAGCGACTAACTATTACTCTAATATATTTGGTATTATGTAAAGTATAATTAGACATAGTTAAAGTAAAAATTAATACAAACTAATCGAATTATAAAAAGTGACCTTCCTCTACTTTGTCAGAAAAAGGCTACATGAAATGTAATCTACAACTCGTTTTCATAGTAACAAAGTAGACGTACTTACTTTGCTAAATATTTTTAAATATTTAACCTTCAAAATTCGATTTCAATTTTACGTGTTGTTCATTAATACTCTAATAATAGCCTTAAAATTAAGACAATGCTCAGCACATAAGCATAAATTAACTATAACTTTTAGAGACTTTAGTAATATGTTAAAACGTATATACGTCAGTATATAAATAAAACTTGAAGTAAATATTTATGATAACAAGAATTACATCAGTGAAAATTCGAAGTATCAGTTATTATGATATATTGGCGTGCTGTCAAAAATATCTGATGCAATAATAAGGTGGATGCAATAATGAGGTAATTTACGTTAATCTAAGAGATTTGTTATTAATATTTATGGGGAAAAACATTTTTTGGTTTATACTTAAATCAAAGGAAAAGTAAAATCTACTTTTATCCGGGGAATTTGTTTCGCGGAATTTTAATTATATCAATGAACTTGAATAAATTAATAAAAAAAAAAGTCTTTTAAATATTTTATTAAACCTACACCTACGTTTTTCGTTAGTTTTGTGTATTCATTACTACTGAATTGAATGGAAACAAAACAAAAAATCTAATATATTTTTGATTTTTATGGGACCAAACAAATTTTTAAAGCCATTGACTTATTCACTGGACAAGTAAATTTTAACAATGAATTTTGCAAAGTCATCGTTATATTTTTGTGTCTACGTTATTCATAATTTAAACAAAAATAAATCATACGATTCAACAACTGAATGAGAGTTGATAATCCCGATTTATTTCACAACATATTTTTTAGTGTGTAATTATCAATTTGCAATAATTTCATAAATAATACAAATTTTGATAAACAAATAAGGGATTTATATTTCTGACTTTTGGCTGGAAACAATTTCGTCAGCTTATCGCTAACGTTTTTAGAGTTTCAGTTACATCATCTTTTCGCTTTGGTGCCGCTATAAAATCATACTCCACTTCTCCAAGTGGCATTCACATTCAGGTCTTCTGAGCGTCAAGTGAATTGTGCTGTTCCGTCTAATTCTGTTTTGTGTGGTGTTATTTTCAAGTTTTTTTTGAAAATATTAAAAATGGCAAGCATCGACTACAACTACTTTATTTCCCCCCATGCTTCTAGAAGGAGACCAGCCCTTACTAGAGAATTAAGTAAGTTGCATCATTTTATATTCATATGTTTTTGAATAAATATCGGCTTTCTGTTTTTAAAAATACTAGGGAAAATTAAAACTTTGGGGTTAGTTTTAATATTGATGTCACACTTCGTAATTGTATCAAAACTGCATTATTTAACTGCAAATATAAAAAAGTCGAAACCGGTTACAAATTTTTTTTTTGAAATATTGTTGCTAGGTAACAGAATCACTTACCAATATATTATTATTTTTTTTTAGCTAAACGCGCGTATGCAGTTAAAGATACCATATCCCTAGCAGAAGGAATGCCCAATGAAGTAACATTTCCCTTCGAAAAAATGCAGATTTTGATGAAAGATGGTACAACGCTTACCCTTCAAGGTCAGCAATTACATGCTGCTCTACAATACATTCCGACACAAGGCTATCCTCCACTGGTGAAAACATTAAAAGAATTTATGCAAAAAGTGCACCAACCACCTAACTGGCAGGACCGGGATTTGATAGTAACCAACGGATCACAGGATGGCATAAGTAAATCTATTGAACTTTGCATTCAAGAAGGTGACCCAGTACTTGTACAAAATCCTCTTTACACTGGTACGGAGATAGTTGTAAGTATAAAAGTTACAATATTATTTGTGATGGTGCTAACCATTTTGGTATTATTGTATAGCTGAAACCTTTCAAAGCCGAACTGATTGGTATCGACCACGACCAATATGGAATGAGCGCTCAGAAACTGCTAGATGTCTTAGAAGACCGGAAAGCAAAGTATACAGAAGAAGGTGGAGGGTGTAAAATGCCTAAAGTCCTTTATCTTAACCCGACGGGTTCAAATCCAACGGGTACAACTATGCCAGCAGAGAGAAGAAGAGAAATCTATAACATCTGCTGCAAGTACAACATACTCATCTTGGAAGATGATGCTTATTGTTTCATGCACTTCTTGGACGAAAACCCTCCATCTTTTCTCTCTCTAGACACAGAAGGGCGTGTCGTAAGATTCGATTCTTTATCAAAAGTATTAAGTTCTGGTCTCAGAATGGCATGGATAACTGCGCCAAAACAAATAATTGCAAACATAGAACTGCATATACAAAGTTCCTATTTACATTCCAGCACTTTATCTCAGGTAAATTTTTATAATTTTAATATGCGGATGTTATTTATATTTAATTATTGTGATAAGTTTATGTCAGAGTTCAAACTGTTCTATTGTGAGTTTCTTTCAACAAGACATTTACTGATAACCCTTATATGTTTTGTGATATACCAAATGTTGAAACAAGAACCTTCGAGATTTGCAATCTGAAGCTTTATTATTGTTGCAAAACAAACTATTTGTGAACACAGCTGACGTCAAAGTCTTTAGGCGGTTAGCAAACATTTATGTTTTCCTTTAAAAAAAAATATCAGACTCTGATAACACTTAAGAAACTGGTAAAATCTAGTTCTAACTTTAACCTTTGACTTAACTGCCAGATCTTATCTTTTTGATTTTGAATTGCAGGTCATTACTGAGAATTTGCTGCAAACTTGGGGTCACGACAAATTTATGGAACACCTCAACTTTGTGAAAAAGTATTACAAGGCTCGTCGTGATTTAACGATTGTGTCGATGGAGCGCCATCTTAAGGGTCTTTGCGAATGGACGGTTCCTACTGGAGGAATGTTCGTCTGGATTAAAGTACACGGTGTTTCCGACGTCTACGATATGCTGATGAGCCGTGGATTGAAGAAGGGTATTACTTTTGTACCTGGGCATGCTTTTATGGCCGATCCCACAAAAGCATGCAGTTATATTCGAGCTTCCTACAGCAAAGCTTCCCCTAAGCAAATTGAAAAAGCTATGAAGCTTTTGGCAGAACTGATAAGGGAAGAACATTTGTTGTTGCGTAGGAAGCTAGATAATTGTACTTAATCTTTATACAGAATATAGAAGGTTTTCTATATTGCTTTGAAAAAGCCTTGTTAATCATCTCTATACCTTATAATTCTGATGTAGAAAGGAGTTAGGGTACTATTTTATCGACTTTATTAGTTATGCTATTCACTAGCAGAGGGTGGTGCGATTTATGAAATGGCCTATCTGTACACGCTATAAAGTTTTCACATAATTATATTATGAAATAAATATTGGTGTAAGGAATAAGTTTAACAGTGTAAATTGTCTTTTATATTTTAATAAATGATTGAAGTTATGCATGCATTTTCTTTTCCCTTGTTTCAAAGAATAGTTAATTAGCGAATTTTGGGGTTTTCGAAATATCGTTTGCCGTATATTAAAAATACAAACCAAAAATTGTTTCATTTTCCCAGCTGTGTGTTGGCGCTACGTAAGTGTGTCGATGTGTGGAATCATAAAAATTATTCGGGCATTCATTTAGGCATAAACCATAAGAAACATCTATCATTTGTGATTTCCTGATTTTCATGCCACCACAGTCAATATGGAAATGGAAAATAGTTAATATTGCACTTGAGACAATAATTCGAAAAATAAAAATGCGGTTATCTTTAAAACGTTTGCTACAGTTGCACTGTCTATTTTTTTTATCTCTGTAGGCACACATTTATCTACAAAATTCGGAACTATTTTTTTATTATTACTGTGAGTTATTAAAAAAACCTACCTAAGTGTGGTATTTTAATAACCTTGTTTTCATTTTGAGTATTGTTGTTCATATCAGTTCATACTCACAAAAATAATAATAATGCTTGTTTGATTTGGGTGTCATCTATTGCTTTAGGTAGCTAACTTTGTAACATGAGTTAGTAGAATTCGTGTTATCATTTACGTTTCTCCCTGTAGATGGCAGAAGTAGTTCAAGACGTAATTTAGATTGGCTTCTGTTACATTCAAGCTTTACCGCCACAGTTTGAGGTGGATGATAATAAGTAATACTTCAACAACTATGTTTTTTCAGTAATGTTTTTACGTCTATATATTACTAAGTTTCATTTTGGGCTTGTTTAGGAAGACAATGGAAAGTCATAGCTGAGGCCCAAGTGAAACCTTAAACCACAATTAAATTAAAAAGTTCAAAGTTAAATAACAATAATAAATTTAAATAAATTATAAATATTTGGTAGGTAGTTTCCCGAATTTAATAACAAAAATTTTGAAAAGCCAATTATCTCACAGAGTTATTAATGGTCTGCTAGAGGTAACTGAAAGAAACAATTATTTTGTTAATTTTTACTAGACTAAAATGTATATAAGTTCAATAAAATAAAATAAATTTTAATACATTTTTATCTTAGCGCTCAATATACACGGATGAAAACAAGTTTATAATCAGTATTTAACAAACTTGGGAACTTAATTAAATTTATATCATATGGGGTGCACGAAGTTTGAAATAACAAAACATTAATTTTCCTGGGTGGAGTGCTACTGAAGCATCGCCACAAAACTTTTGCTAGTACTCTACTCTGACATCATTGAATCATTCAACAAAATGAGAAGAAGTTATATTCGTAAATGCAACACATTACTATAACACCGCAAGACAAAAAAAAAACACAATCAAAGACAGCAGGAATTTTTGGAAGATTCGTCTTTTATAGACTACCGTCAATTTGAAAATTTGAGTTGAAAATGCAGTGATCAAAGACAAACTCTCAAAAATCCTTGGTTGCCTTCGAACGTATTTTTTATCGCTTTTGTGGTATTTATCTAAATGTTTTCATCAACAGTAGTTTGTTAACCAATTTAAATGTTAAAAGCAACTTAGCAAAAACTAAACGGTAAGGGTTGTTATTTTAAGCTTAAAACGCTAACCTTTGATTTTTACTTCGTATTTTGAGTTTGTATCAAAAATAAAACAGAAGTTGATTAAGTACATTTACCGTCTTATATTCCTTCAGAGTCATAGTTACGAAAACTTTAGGACAGAGTGATTTTCACGAATGTTCAACCTAGATTATCATAATACGAATAGGCACATTTCCCGTTTTCGTCTTAGTTTTGTGAAATAAGTCGTCAACGTAACATTTCACAACATTTATGGGGGAATAATTTTATTCTATACTGATTGAACTTGTCCGGGACACCTACAAATCAGTTTTGGTGTAGTGAGGAAACATATTATATAATAAACATATGTCTCAGCACCCCTGTATGTGAGTAGATACTACTGTTATAATTTTTCTTGTGATTACGTTTAGTAGCCCTCTTGTTTTTAAGAAAATGTAAATGTCTGAAATTTTACTATATTGTGTCATAAACAAATAAACGTTAAATGAGTACAAGGATAAAATAAATTAATCAGTGTAAAAAGCCAAACAAAATAAATCTGTAATACTTTTGTTGTGTTTTTTAATTAACTTACAACATTGTCAACAATGAAATTACTAATAGCCACTAGTAAATTTTTCAACAATAATTTACCCACAGTGCATGTTGTTTTACCGAATATTTGGAGCTGATCTTAATCATAGATGCCTAATTGTACGGAAATGTACACAGGGGCGGAGTGACTTAAAGCTCACTTAAATTGGACTAATAATTCCAATTTCAATCATATGACATGGGCATTATAAAAAATTAGACATTCGTCAAGAGCCAAAAACATTATACATATACTGAGAGTTTCATTTCAGTCTGTTATTAAAAATCATTTCAAAAGCCTCGTTTTTAAACTTTTCTAAAAAAACTGCAATAGGGTCACTTGGTTGGGGCAGCAATGTTTTACCCTAATAGTCGTTTGCAGACCACAATATGATTATTTAATATGTCTTACATCAAGTTGGCTTTGAAATTTCGTGAATTTTGCTATGCCGTTGTGATGATCGAGCATAATCAGTTTTTGTCTGTTATAAACCTTTGTCAAAGTTTAATTTTTGTAAACATTTTCGCTATTTACTACCTACTAGATAGGCAACCAATAATTTAGATGGGATGATAGCTTTGTTACCTATCTCAATGAGACTCCAAATTTTCCAAAACCATCTCGATGTACGATCTTTTATAATCACCTTTTATGTATAAAAGAACTTATTTCACAGTCTGAAGTTGGGTATGATACAGTAATTAAAACAGCTCATATATGTTTATTATAATATACTTACTTTTACCGTAAAAGCGGTAAGTAATTTAGAAAAAAATATACTTTTCACGGAGACAATTATTATTGACCTTGTAAAAGAGTTCGAGAAAAACATCGTTAACCTTCCAGGAAAAGTGGGAAAAGAATAATTTAAAAATGTTTGAATTATATATTTTGAATTCATTCATTCAAGTTTTTTAAATATGCCCCTGTTACTTATTTAGTTCTTCCTTTTATTTCTTATATATGTTAGAAGTATCTAGAATCTTTATACGATTTTTTAAATAACTCTACACATTTTATGCAAAATTGTCGTATTCAATATGTTGTATTGTTATAAAACTAATAAAATAAAAAATATTACTTTTTAAATAAAAATTTACAGGGTGTTAACAAATGATTTACATCTAGTGGGCTATGATTGATTTATTTTTTACCAAATTAATTAATCCTGTCAACTTTAAATCAGATTTTAGCGTATATTTCTTTAAATCGCGAAGAGTGCGAAAAAATGGACCCTAGAAGAAGATAACTTTTTTATTGAAGCCTATTTTCTGCCTGACCAAGAGATTGATAAACAATCGAAATATACAACTTCTACCGCTAAAAAAACGGCAGTCGTGTTTGCGGCCCTTTAGATGGTAATACTTTATTAACACCCTATATATATGTACATAAGGTGTGAGGTGTTTCATTCAAGGTACGCATCACGAATTAAAAAAAAATATTATTATTACATACTTATTACTGTAAATTGGCCAACAGATTTTGCGTCCAATTATAGACCAAATACATACCTATTTTAAGACCAAATTATTATTATTAGGAGTATCTACTATAAATTATAATCAATCAACTATACAATTTATTGCTTGTCCGAATTGTCGGAAATAGATTTTCTACTAACACAGTGAGTCCACAAATATTGATCATCTAAAACAGAGGTGACATTTCGAGGATATTAGTTTTTGTCGTATCATGATGCAGTGGATAAAATTTCCTAATTTTGAAATTGGGAATGTTGAAATAGATTCATAATTAAGCAAACGGTGAAAGAATGTTAAATATAAGTATTTGCCTCCACTGACCAAGGTTGGAAGCTGAACATTTTCTAGAGGATACTCTATATATTAAAAAGAAGAGACCTTTGCAAAAGCACCCTTGTACCTTCTCAACTGCAACAACCATGTATATTATAAATGGGAGACCATACAATACATTTTTGTATAGGATTAAGAGTACCTACTTCATAATCATCAAAACATTTGAATTTACGTAACATAAACCCTAAGATTTTATACGCTGCTGAGGTAATATATTCGATATGTTGCCTAAATGATAACTTCCAATCAAATGTCATGCCAAGGTCTTAGTAGACAACCGATTTTTCTATGACTATATTATTAATCGTGTAGTGGTAACTAATTACATTGGTGGCTTTTCTTGTAAAAGATACTACACATGATTTGTCTGGATTAAAAAAGAGTTTGCTTTCAGAACATCTGAATAGTGTCAATATTATTTTGTAGTGTAGTGCAGTCATTTTCATTCTTAATTGGCAGAAATACTTAATTTAAGATCGTCCGCATTCACTAAGTGGTGCGTGCACATTGAGGGAGTCAACGATCTCATTAATGTAGACCAAAAAATAAAAAAAAAATAGAGGCACCTAAACTGAACACTGAGGAACAGCAGTATGCTGTATAAAATGTGCCGACTTAAAAGCTTAATTTCCGTTAGATATTTATTTTACAAGCGATTATATATTGCTGTAATTAAATATATTTAATCATCTTTCACCGGCTCCAGGAATTGCTATTGAATACTAATTACCTACAACGATTAAGGTTATTGACGGATTTTGAATAGGAGTTTATATACAAAGTAAGTTTTGTTGTGTCAAAATACATATAAATGATAAAGATGGACAATGGATATTGGATAACAATATTAGATAAATTTTAATTAAATTTATCTATTAATTTCATGATGATCTGAAGATGTCCTAAGCGTAAAACCCGGTTCATGTTAAGATGAAAGTAACCCGTGCTAAAGCCAATTTTGTATTTGTTGCTCATCTACGATATGTCCTAATAAATATTAAAAAAGGTTTTCCCGAATTTCTGTCAATTAATTCGCGAGATACAATA